TGAAACGAACAGAGAAAGCTGGAAAAAATTAAACGCTGATTTTTTAAGCAAAACACAATTTTGAGAGACTTCAGCCGGATAAAGATAATGATTCTCGTCTGGAAAACCCGAGTTTTCTCGTTCTAGGTTTTTTATGCTTTAGTACGCCGGGCATGCATCCTTAAAAAAAGCAGAAAAACCTTAAATGCCTAAAAACCAGATCACCATTCGAGTATTATTTGGAAGAAAATTTTAGGTGCAAGTACTGCAAAACAAAAAAAAAAAGACAGCGCTGAATTAGCCCTGCTAAGCCGATCTACTGATCTGAATATTTGAATGTCCAAAATTTAGTAATATAGGTAATACAAGTCAGTTGCAAGGTTTCGGCCGCTCCGTATTTTCTGTGGTTTGTACGAGCCGTTACTTCAGAAGGTACTGGTTGGCCAACCAAAACATCCACAAAAAACCTCTTGATAATTTACCCCTCTTCGGCCGCTCTACTTTTGGTTCGGTTTTCTATGTCCCTTACTTTTTATTCCATTAAGACTCCAAATAGAACAAGAAAGAGAACGCTATTTTCAGCACTGGCCATCATTTTTATTGAGAAATTTAAAATATGAAAAACATAACTTCGTCCCAAGCTAGTTTTTATCATTATTTAACTCAAAATGGGATTTTTTTTGGACGGAAAAAATACGTTCAAAAATTTTAATTTTTAACTTCTTTTTTTTAATTTTTAATTTTTTTTTAAATTTTAATTTTCAAAACTTACCAGTGTGCAGAGGAGGAAGAAAACACTCCATTTTTGGCTATGTGATATGAATACGCTTACGCCAATGTAGCAGAAGATGAAACTTTCCATCAGAAATGAAACTTGCTGAAAAAAACTTTTTTCACTGTTCAAAAAACTTCTCTACGATTCATCCAACAGCTTCCCTACGATAAGTACTAACGCACATTAGGAGCCAAATTCACTATTCGCATGCTTTTAACAGCTTTTGGAAGAGACAGTTATCGACGGTCTTATCGGTAAATGGATGATGTTAGCGCTTGCAAACAGATGACCAACTTCTGCTTGACTTCTTCTTTCTGGGAGAGCGAATAAAAATGAAAAAAGTGAAGGGGAGAGGGAGGAGAGGGCGGAGGGGGAGGGCAAAGGAGTGGGAGGAAGCGATAGGGAAGAGGAAAAAAAGAAGCGATTTTTTGATTCGTTAATATTCTTTCTAGCTTTCTACAAAATGCAAAAAAGCATAATAATAATAATAAGGGGTTCCGGAAGTACCTGGAAAAATTGCTTCGTTCTGACCCTGGATTCGTCCGAAAGATTATTGTATGTATAATGAGCCTGACAAATAGCACAGAACAGAACTGCTACAATGCCTGCAAATAACAGTACGATTATAGACAAGTGTAAGAACTATGGTAGCGGTAAGAAGTGTATAACTGTGGTAGCGGTAAGAAATCTGTGCGACTTAATGGACCGAAACATTTCTTATCTAATAATACTTCTTTTCCACATTTTTATGCGTTTTGTGCTGTGTAACAGCAGTACAAAACGCATATTGTTACGGGGTTGTCTGTGTGTGTGTTTGTGTGTGTGTTTCCGCAGCAACTTGTCCGCAACTTTCAACTCGGGAACCACAAAAGCTAGGAAGCTGAAAATTTAGGGGACGTTCCCCACCCATGTGTGACCCCGCAAATTTAAATTCAGCTTCCCCGTACCCGCGGGTAACGCGACGGCCCTGTGAAAGTTTTTTACGGGTAAGTTAATATCTCGGGAATCACGAAGTATAGGAGGCTGAAATTTTAGGGTAATGACCCACTGCCCATGCTCAACCTTGCCCATTCAAAATCCCCTTACTTGCGGGTAACAAGTACAGCTCCATGAAAGGTTTTCACGGGTAAGTCACGGGTAAGTTAATATCTCGGGAACCTCGGGATCCCGCGAAAGTTATTCACGGGTAAGTTAATATCTCGAGAACCACGGAGTCTAGGAGGCTGAAGTTTTAGGG